GGCGCCCCCTCCTCCCCCAAGCCAGGTCGGAGGTGCCCCCTCCTCCTCCCCCCCCCGGACAGAGCAGCCCCCTACCACCGCCTCCCTCCCCTCCCCTCCCCTGCCGGCCAGCCCTGCCCCGCTCACCCCGCTACGCAGCCTGGGCGGACGGAGCCCGCGCCGAGGGCCCTGCTCTCCCGCGCCGCCGCCGCGCCCGCCCCATCCCACGCAGAGCCAGGAGAGGCGGCGGCGGCGGGGGCGGCGGCGATGGGTCCCTCCAGCCGGCCGGGAGGGCGGGGCCACCCTCCCCGCCCCTTAGCGTGGCGGAAGGGGCGGGGTGGGCGGAGCGGAAGGGGCGGGGTCTCCTCGCCCGGAGAGGCCGCCAGGCTTCGGCGTGGGCGTGGCCGCAGGGAGGGGCTTCCCTCCTGTGGAGGAGGGGGGCCCAGCCCGGAGCCGCCCCGCCCACCCCCCGCCCTTCCTCCTGGCCGCCCTGACCTTTGGCCCCGGGGCGGGAGGGAGGAGGAGGAGGGGGCGGCGGCTGCTTGCCCCCCCCCGTCTCCCCACCTGGCCCGGCCTAGGCGGAGGGCCGCGAGGGTCGCTTTGCCCGGCTTTCGAGAAGGGACCGGACAGCCCCCTGTGTGGAATGGGGGTTGGACTGGATGGCCTCCAGGGTCCCCTCCGGCTCTGTCCTCCTATGATTCTGTCCTGCATGGGCAGGGGGCTGGACTAGAAGACCTCCAAGGTCCCTTCCAACGCTATTCTGGGTGAATTGAGTGAACAGCTAGCGCAGGGGTTCTCAACCTTGGCCACTTTAAGACTTGTGGACTTCAACTCCCAGAATTCCTCAGCCAGCTTTGCTGGCTGAGGAATTCTGGGAATTGAAGTCCACAAGTCTTAAAGTTGCCAAGGTTGAGAACCCCTGAGCTAGTGGGAATTGGGCATATCTCGTCCAGCAAAGAGAAGGGCAGGGGTGACATAATAACAATCTTCAAGCATTTAGGGGGCTGTCAGAGAGAAACAGCCAAGATATATTTAAACCTGTTCATAAATTGACAAGTTCCAAAATCTTGGGAATATAATATCCCATTTACATCTCTAAATCTCGGCTTCCTCCCAAGAACCTGGTTCACAAGAGTATTAATCCCTAATCAATAACTACAAATGGACAGGCTGAAAGCATATGAATTAATTCTGCATTCCTTCATGTTCATTATAACTCCAGTGTTAAAAACATGTCAGTCAACTTTTTAATACATCCCACTGTGAAGTCCATTGCACTGGAAAATGTTTTTTTTTGTTGAACTAGCTGAAGTTTAAAATGTTATATTGCTAACTATTAAATTTACTTTTATAATGGTGCTGAGGGTTTTTTGTACCAAGGAAAATGTTGCAGCTATTCTGGAAGGCGCCAAGTTGGTGATGGCTTTTATTTATTCATTTATTTTGTATAGCGTAACAGCGTTCCCTAACCTTTCCAGCTTGGCAGCCCGGGTGAGGGTTGTGTGTGCAAGGTGCACACGCGCCCACAACTGGCAAGCAGAGGCACTTGAATAGAAGGCGCTTGTGCTCACATGCAGAGCTCCATTCACGTGAGTGGAGCTTCACGCGTGCCCGCGTGCCCATTTCTCCCGCGGCCCAGTTTCGGCTGCGGCCCAGGGGGTTGGGGAATATAGCATTAGTGCATAAGATTCACAAAAACAGCATATAAAATGTGTAAAAATATATAAAACACCAGAAGAGTGAATTAGNGAGGACAAACGACAAATAATTCAGAGTGAATTCAAACAGGTAATTGAATAGACAAGTCCTCTAAAATATGTATTGATTTTTCAAGTAATCACAGGTTTACTGCCTGGCCAATTCCAAAACGATTATCACTACTAAATATTTATTGGGCAACATTAAGTATGGTATATCAAAGTGATATAGGATCTACACAGCTCATTAAGGTAGAAGATAGGAATCGCCAACACTTTCCGTGATACTATCCAAAACCTCAAATCAAATAATGAAGAGAGAAATGAAGGCCAAGAAAAGTAAATAAAAATCCAGAGGAAATTAAAACAATTAAAGGCTTTTATCTCCCCCCCAGTATAAAGAGAGCTCTTACACACCATTGTTTTTTGGTAGTATTTAAAGCAACATTTCCTGAGGCAATTATTCTGCTACAAAACACTTAGATCCAAATTGATCTAATGTGATTGAACAAAAATAGCATTACTACTGTATTTCTCTAGATTATTAGAGTAGCCACAGTCCTGACATGATATGTGTATATTGCAAAACTTCCCTTAATAATTTCCTTTATGAACCCATCAAGAGTTCCACAGGGCAAACGGACTCCTCTTACTTGACACTTGAGTCAGTGAGTATTCTAACAACTTTTTAAGTAAAATTAGTCTTTTGAAACCCACGTCTACAATCAAGGAACAAACTTAACCATGAAAAAAATGGTGAAATTTCCTAACGTTGCACAAACCCACAAGTCCTCTATTTATTTATTTTTTTAAAAAAAAGAGCCTTCAACCCAAAGCACATTTTAGACTTTAAAATAATAATAATAATAATAATAATAATAATAATAATAAACAACCCACATCACTTTCAGATTCTAATTTTGGTTGAAGAAATACCACAGCCAATTAGCTTTTTGCTTAAGAGAGCATGAAGGATGAATAGAAAGCAACAAATGCTCTTTAACGTTTTTTTTTTTTATCAAGTTGGCAACCTGCGGCTACTCAACAAGTTCAATCAGATTCCTTTTGTTGTGTTTATAAGGTGGCAACCTGTGCAGAACAAAACACTTATGGAGTTTAGTGGGTGTCTGGTTAATTCTGTATGGCTTTCCCCCCCATGCACAGGAAAATCCTGTTTTTCCTAGGCTCCCCCCCCCCTTTAAACACGTGAACTGTCCAATGCTCCCACCTGGCCTGTGTCTGGATCACTGGGGATCCCTTAGCTGTACCTTTTCCCATAGGGGGAGGCTGATCTCACCAGGGGCTGATGACCCCCTGTGAGTGAATAATGCAGGCAACACCCTGCTGGGCCAGGATCTCTGCCAGGGCAGCTGAGGGCCATTCCAAACAAAGGGGGGTCAGAAACAGCCCCCCCAAATAACCAGTCGAGACTGAAGTGGTGGGGAGGGAAGCCGGGGGGGGGATCTCT